GCAGTGAGAGGCATGGCGCAATAAGAATTTCCCACAGACGGGCCAGCCTCCGACTGAATATCGCATGCCACACTGGTGGGGTGCTTCTTTTGTGTGGTACTTGGCCAAATGCGAGCTGACCGGGCGCGCAGGGACACTCCTGCGGGCAACGCCTATTTCGAATCGCTGACGCAAGGCATGTGCCAAGCTTAGTGCAAAGCAGATTGTTCGAGAAGGGCTGCTCCGCTAATATATGACACGGTCGAAACGTCGTTAGCCTGTTCATGGCACATTTTGACAACCGTTGTAAGGGCATTGAGGGAACTATGCGCATGACTCAGAGTTCGATCGTGAGCCAAGAACCCCCAGAAGCGCCCGTCTTCAGCCAATTGGGCACTTTGGCGTTCCTTGCAAGACTCTGGCAAGTAATGACGGGACTTTAAACATTAAACAAATTTCCCATGCGCAAAAGGACACTTCCACGAGAAACCATCAAGGAAAACACAATTGAAACAGATCTTAGACACCCAACCGGGAACATGTGGGAGATTATGGATTCCGCCTTCCAATCGACATCAACTCGCTGCCGAACTTGTTCTCGTGGATGCCGAGGCATGCATGAATTGTATAAGGTCTCACTTCCTGTTCCGGGGACTTTTCATACTTTTTGGGTTTGCCAGTTCAGTCGCAAACAGAATCCTGGCGTATCCTGGCTTGTTTTGACCAATCCGCTTAGGAAGGCGGTGCAACATCCGCCTCATTCTCAGCAAACAAGGGCCTATGGGGGGTGCTGTCTTACGGGTCGCGGATTCGGATTAGGGATGCCTCCAGCCGAAATTTGACGCAGGGGAGAGCCCTGGGAAGGGTTGTCGTTTCTTCTTAACCCTTTTGGGGTCCCCCGTTGTCTTGGTTCTCTCCAGGCGTTCTGGATTGTGATCCCGCCCTCGGTTTTGAAGAGCCCAGACCCACAAACGCTCTGCCAACTGCCCGCGTACAACATACCCATGAAGGTTAACTGCGGCTAAACATTGCACGGAACTTGGGCCTGGCAAGCATTCCACACGGAGAGAGGCTCGCCTTAGCTTCAGGTTCTCGCTCTTCTTCCACGGGTGCCTGGGCGAACAGCTGCCGGACATGGCAAGGGCGATCTTTACGGAAGGCGCCGTGTGCCGGGCGTTCGGAGATGCCGTGGTCACAGAGTCACAGGGGTCCGTCCCAATATTTCTGAACTTGGAGAAGCACACCCTACAAGTTCCTATAAGTCTATGGTTTTAGTCGCGTTTTTGGCCCATTGGTAGGGATGCTGGGTCATTACTTACTTTCTTACTTACTTGCTTACTAATTACTGTGGATGGACACAAAGGCACCATTGCAAGGTGGATTGTCCCAGTATTCTTGGGGGTTCATTTATCCAGGATTTTGTCCATCGTCCACAATGCATCCACCTGTGATGAGAATTTGGTGAGTAAGTCCCATAATTGCTTGATAATTTAATGTCTGGGGTCTCCGAAGCTATTTGTCCTTTTCGGGTAGGCCGACACAGACCAGAATCTGACAAGCCCAATTTACGTGTACCCCAGATTTGAGCCTTAAGTTGGCGAGTGTACCCAATGCAGTTCCCGTTCCAAGTATTTTCCGCCCATTTGTCGCCCTGAGACTCGGAGGATCTAAGTTCAGGGCGTGCAGTGCCTGCCATTCCCTGCGGCGTGTGTATGCGTGTATGCGTGTCTGTGTTTGTGTCTGTGTCTGTGTCTAGGTGTGTGGGTGTGTGCTTGCGTGTTGTTTTTTCCACTTTGTGAAGACGACAGAATCAGTCTGCTAATTCTATGGCGAGCTAAAACATGCGGAAGTGAACCCCCATGAAATGGTGATTTTCTTGGGGGTCCCTTACTTCAGGGTTTTGGTCAAATTGGGAGACTCTCTTGAGGTGGCAATCGTGGCAACTCTAGTTAAGCAGGCTTTCGCTGAACCCTCGCCTCGCAGCAGGCGGTCCTGGAAACAACTAGGGGTTGTCTCTTTTGAGGGTCCGTACGCTTTGGGGGGGTTAACACTGTTTTATTGGTGGCATCTTTATGGGGACATGCCTCAATCCGTGCACCGGTTCTTCAGCCGAAGTCAGCAACTCTTTCGTTTGTCGCTCTTGTTTCACAGAGCTCGCTGGCCACAAGAACATATTGTCGCCTGGAAATGCCCAAAGCAGCGGACACTATTGGTTTGGCTAGCTTCCGACCGGAACGACTAGTTAAAAACTCGCTCCTGCCAACAAATCGACCGCCCGGCTGCACCACCCAGCTAACTTTGAACCATGCCGCAAAGAGGCCATTTGGGCAGGGTAAAAGCATGGGATGCACTGAGCACCGCCCGTGCGGGCCGTAGACTTACGGTTGGATGGCTAGATGTGAGCGTAAGGGCCGAATGGTTCCGTAGCCTTATGAACTGCAATCATTTGCCCAGACGAATGGTTCTTGTGAGGCATTGACGTTGGGCTTTGTCTCATCATCTTCGTCTTCCTGGGCCCTTTCACGGCAGCTTGGCATCTGGAGGTCGAGTGTGCGTCCACGAGCTGCGGATGTGAATCACCCTTGGGTCAGAGTCGTGGAAACCCTTCCAGCCCGAAACGCAAAGTGCTACATCCTGCTGAGCGAAATTCGACGGCGGTTCTCATTCTTATCCTGTTTCCTGCAGCCCTCGGTGTCCTTTTCACTAGTACCAGGGAACCAAACATCGAGCCAACACCCAGATTTGAGAATCTAGGTGCATCCTTCGAAGTCTGTTCAGGAGGTATGCAATTTTTCTCGCGGCCTGCCATGTCCTTCGGCCTTCGGCGAGAGGTCATGAACATGATCGTGGCGGTGTTGGTGCACGTGGTGAGCTCCGTGGCCACATTGCAGCAGATCAACCAGCAGAACGGCAGCTCGGCCTGGCCGACTTGGCCGATGGCCCAATGGCGCGTTGGACTTGGGGAATTCAATTGCCTTCTTTGACACGGGTCCAGCTCTATTTTTGCTTCCTGGTGGTTTTAAACCTCACCCATTTTGGCATTGAGGCGAGTTTCCTTTGGTAGGATGTTTTGATCCTGTTATTTAACTCGTCCCCCAACTTCCTGGACTTTTCACTGTCTGGGAAGATCAGTTTGGTAAGCAACACTTCTGGACTTGTTTGACAGGGGTCCAACTAGAATTTCATATGTTGTATATAACTACAACCTTTTGGCAATTTCAGGTGTGCTTTCCTGGGAAAGTAAAGAAACAAGCTGCTTGACCATCCTTCTTGCAGTTGTCCTGTAAAGGGGGACCAGGGGCGGTTGTTTCAACACATTTTGCCTGAATCTGGCTGCTTCTGGATTTGTCTGTTGCCTGGCCCAGAATCAGTTGGGGGCAATTTCGGAATTCGCAAAGGGGTCGGGTTCTTTGATCGATTGAAGCCACATGGTATTCTTTCAAAACTCAACCTGGGAGCTGCACTGTTGATGAATCGGAGCCTTGTGTTTCACGTGAACAGGGACTAGGTCCCCCAGTAGTCCCTTGTACCCTTTTTTAGGGGAGGGTTCTCCTACTAGAATAGGCTACAGAAAAAGTACCCTTATTGAAACCTCTCTACTGGAGGGCCTAGGGGAGCAAAGCATCATTTTCAGAGGAGCCTCCGTTCAGGGGCAGTTTTAATCCACGTGAATGTGAAAGGGAGTGGCCACTTCAGTCCAGTGCCATGTTGGCTAGCTTGCTGGGCCCTGCTCAGCAGAGGCGTGATTCGCGAGCGGAGCCTTGGCCGAAATTTGCCGGCCATGTGGCTGGTTGATGCTGGTTGAACTTATCGAGTCAGTGGGGACTCCAGCTATCTCCAGCTTACTCCCGGAGATACTGCGCTTTTATTTGTTTAATTGTGGGCTTGGACCATAGTTCGGCGGGAAACAACAGTTTGGATCTTCGTTTCGACCAATCCACCAAGGAAGTAAGTTGGTGCTTTTGAGTAAAGACCCTCTTTCCCGCTAAGGTAGGCAGGATGTTCTGAGGGAAGGTGCGGACAAGAGTTAATCGTGGAATTTCGCAGCAAGTGTGCTCAATTCATCACGGCTTGCCCACGTATCCTATGAGGTGTGGCCTTCATAGGAGAACATAGAACCGCACCACACCGACTTTGGTGCATGACTGCTTCCTTCTGAGGCTTCTCTGTAAAGCCACCCACAAAGGGGTCCGAATTCCATGTTGAGATTCCCCCTCCAGGCAAAGGCCTATGCTCGTCCAAGACGGGTTGAGACCTTAGGGTCTGGGGCGTCCTCAAGCAGCTGGACCAGGATCACGATGACATCATTAGCCAGGACGAGTTCAGGACGCGCGATCTGAACATGGAACCCAATCATCGAAAAGCTGACGGAATGAAGAACCCACCTGCCTTTCAAAGGAACACTTTTCAGAAGGTCTTGTGCAAGGACTTACATGTATCCTTTCCAGATCCCTTGCAGAGGAACGTCCTTGAAGATCTTGAAGGATCTTCTCACTCTCTTTTTTGGCGGGTTGATCAGTCAGTTGGCAAGAGTTACTGAACACTTACAGCGTGGTAGTGGATGAGATGGCACTTCGGTCAGAAAGGGGGATGATGAAATCGCCATGGGGGGTGGGGAAATGTGCCATTTACTTTCAGCCAACTGTAATTCAAAGGTCGGCCGTCCACAGGGTTCCATGTTTTGAGCAAACCGAAGGCAGACTGAACCCCAGGCTGGTTGATTTCATCCCAAAAAGTGCATCCTGTGGATCGTTTTGTCTCGGAGCCAAAGGAAAACAAGCCATCCAGGAATCGGCCATTTCGGACGAACCTAGCCATACATCGCATGTGGGTTTCGTCCAGCGTTTGAAGCTGCGTAGCTGCACGCGGCCTTGAAGCTAAAGCGGCCCTAGGTTCCCCATTCTTTTGGGCCATCCGGTTTTCCAGTGCAGTGGAAAGGAACGACGAATGGGGAATCAACCCCAGAAAATCACAGTCATGTTCTGCGTTGGTTCTTAGTTCTTGGCCCGGACTCTCCACATTCATCTTTCGGCCCACACAACCCTCCCCCCCCCCGCCGGGCCCCTCAACCTTCTCCGGCAAAAGCATGTTGCAGGACCATTTTGGAGATGCCTCCTGGCTTGCGATTTGACAAACCGCCCCAGGTTTGTCCACAGGACGCCTTTATGCCTGGCATGCTCGCCACTAAGGAAGGACGGTTTGCACATATTCATGGGCGTTGGCGTGGACGTCATTTCCATCATCAAGGATCCCGACATTGTCTTCGGAGGCTGGAAGGTGGCCGTGAGACTGGTCATGTTGGCCCAGGCCTGTCATGTCATCCAGTGTGCGTGTGTGTTTGTATGTCGTTCCAGCCTGTGCATGTGGGCTGTTCGGGGTGAAGTATCCTTGACTTTATTGAACTTGATTGGTAGTGGATTTTCAGGAAATGGAGAGCTCCAGATCAGGCCAAGTATGGTTCTAATTTCATTTTGTATAGAAGCATTGTTTTGCTGCACATGTGCTGGTTCATTTTATCCTCTCAGCATTGCTTACTTGAGTTGACAAGGATGGTTGCCTTGTCAAGAGTTGAGCGGTCGCCTACTGTTTGCTTTGCGGGTATCCAGGCTGTAAGCACTGTCGTCAGGAGACTTTTTTGCGACTTGGGGGCAAGACTTTGCTCGTCTGTGGAAATTGCAGGGTGTTGGTTTCTCAGTAGCTATCAGGGGAGTGAATGGGAGGGGCCAAACGCACAGTATAACAGCCTTTCGCCTGCAATTTCTGGAGAAACAAATCGACCCACTCCATCCTTAAGACAGTTTCGATGAGAAGAAGCCTTCAATCACAAACCCCCAAGAGGGTTCCTTCGCATTTGGTTTTCCCTAGAGTTCAGGCAGCGCTTTGTGCTCCCTGGCTCCAACACACGCAGGCGAGCAGTGCTTGCCCATCGATGAGGTGGTAGATGAGGTGATCGCTTTGCGGGGCAGTAACTTTACTACTGTCAAGGACCTGGCTTTGGAGGTACGCATGCTGACGTACCACAAATATACGCCCTGTCATGGCAGTATTTACTACATAATCATATACTTATGCAACCTCCACGCCTCCAAGACCCAAACCTGGAACGCTTGTGCACGAATTGAAGGGAGCTGACCAAGCCGAAAGTAAACCGAGGTCACGCATCATGAAGATGCATTAGACAAATGCTAGAGTCAGCACTGGGAAAGCGGGGCTTGGATGATCGCAGCATCCTGCCATGGTGGGACCGATCTTACCCTGTGGTAGTGCAAGCAATGGAGCAGCTTGTGCTTTGCAAGCTGCCTTTGGCAGGACCTGGTGCAACTGAAGAACCAGCTGGTGCGTGAGATGCGGCGAGTAGGACAGCGACGAGTGCTCGCACATTAGTGACTGCATTCCCGGATTGGCACCGATTAAACTGCAAGGTTGCCAAGAAGAAGTGCCCGACCCCTTCCAGTGATTCGGTTGTTTCCTGTGTTGCGTGCCCGCTTTATGCGTGTTGGAATCATGAGTGCAGTCTGCGAGCACCAGTGTATCATTGTAGCGTAAAATACGGCAAACATTGGATAGTCTGGGAGTTGGCTAAGTGCCCCAGTGAAATCTCATGTAAACCTGTGCAACTGGGATTGCTAGGATCATTTAGATGTCTCCCAGACCATGCATGCACCTTCCTTTCGCCCAATGGGCTGGGGAGCCACCCTCGCCAAATGCCAGACCTCTCATGGCACTTTACTCCCACTCGCCAAGCGAGTTCCGACAAAGGCCGTTGCCAAAGGTTTCGGGCCACGGAAATCCCGGCACCCCTGGAGATGCCCATGGGTTGACAGGCCTGGGGGTGCAGACCGACGCAGCGAAGGAAGTTGCTTGCCAAATGGCAGCCTCGATGGAGAAACTGGCGAGTGAGATGGCTATTCCGACCTGAACATTCGCGTTCTTGGTAACCGGCGCACACTGAATTGAACGAACGCAACCGAGGGGGCTTTTCCGTTGAACGCGTTGCTTGTCTTGAAAGCTACGCAGATTTGCGTGCTTCCGTTATACATTCTCATTTCTGAGTTCCTGGACTTTATATGGTTCTTCGGGTGGCAGTTTTTGCCGCACACAAAGTTTAGGTGGGCTTCACGCGTTGCACTATCCTTGGACATGCCTCTGGCCCTTTGGCCCTTTGGCCCTCCGCTGCAGCTGTTTCGCGTCACAAAAAGAAGCAGCCCAGTTCAACCCATGCCAACAACGTTTGGCTTGACTCTATCCGTGGATATCCTTCTCTGGATGGTCTTTGAACATGTTCCCTCTGGACAAATATCGACTAAGATTCACTCAACATGGACCGGAAACAAACATGTTATTTTTGTTTTGAGGGGCAACAGCTACGTAGTTAAGTTGCATTACCCGGGATGGCGCGTCACTGGTTGTTTATTGTTTTGTATGCCTTGTGCTTCTAGATTCATCAAAAGCAAATTTGCTATCTGTAGCCAGGCAGGACCTTTAGGACCCCCCAGGCAGGTTCAACGAGAACTCTCAGACGTGATAGCCCTCGAGCAGAAGGTTCCTTCAGAAGCTTTTCTAGGAAGTTGCTTTGGGGGCGCTTTGGTCTTCCTGAGGAATAGGGCCAATTGTTATTTTTGGCCCCTACCCAGCATGGTTCCTCGCTCGGTCAGAACCCCCTTCTTAAAGATTCTGAACATCTTGCCTGGGCCCACTGGGGCTTTGGGGGTCTTTGGTTCCAAGTTCTTCCCGAACCTATGCTCCGCACGCTTCTCCTGCTGCTCATTGCCTGTGTCCCTGGCGAGTGCCTCGGCTTGACGCAGAGTAGGTTCGACTTGAGTGCTCCACAGATAGCAACATCCCCACCCAAGTAATCTACTGAGGGGGGACCCCCTTGTAAACAGCGTATGGCAACCCATTTTCCCCTAGGCGACCCTTTGGTGTCTGGGATCTCGTCGTACGGTAGAGCGAAGGTGAAAGGGGCGCCAAAGGACGGGTTCCATATTTCTCGCTGATGTTTGTATTTTCCTTGGGGGTGATATTTAAAGCGGAAACGATGCGGAGGGGGGGCGGAGCCTGAAGGACCCATTGCAGGTTCCAAAGATTGGTTTGTGGCGACTTTGCCGCCTTCTGTGGTGCTGTGCGGTTTGCAATTAAGAATGAGCACATGAAGCAAGGCTCCTGAGCATAATGCTTTCAGCTAGCGGACTATCAATAGCTGGAAGCAAACAGGTCCAGAAAATGGAGACAGAGGGCAGGATGAGGACGGCTTTTGGGAGGAAGGGCCAAAGCGGCATTTTTAGGAAGAAGCAACCCGCTAGCCATAGTCAAGCTTGAAGACCTGTGCATGACTACCAATATATGTGGCTCAGACAACGAATTCAACACACTCGACGAAGATGCTATTTGTGGCATAGATGAGGAGCTTTGACATTAACCTCCAGTGCGGCTTGCCTTATTGAGAACAGTTGCTTGCCTCGGATTTGCCTCCACGCGCCTTGACACTCAGCATCCTGTCCTCAAGTTTCCCTTTTGAACTGGCTAGACAGAAAGATCCATTCAATGTAGCTGGGAATGTTAAGAAGCAACCCGCTTCATTAAAAGGGGGTGTACTTACCTTTCGTTGATCTCTCCGTCGTCAAAGAAAAATACAGACAGGCCCCGTCTGTAGCCAAGGCCGGGAGTGTCTTGTGGGGCCCATCCGGCTCCCAACTGCAGTGCCTGCGTTGGGGCTTTGCCGCCAGAGGACGGGCAAAAGAAGACTTGGGCTGTGAGCTTTTTTGTAGCCTCTGTCCAAAGTCAGTGGAATGTGTGGCTGTACTCATTGGTTGTGATATGTTGCGATGACGATGCCCTTTTTGTGTATATATGTGCCCCTCAAAAAATCCTGCTTGCTTTGTGTGGGCATGGAGGGCTGGCCTTTTTACAGAGCTTTTTGACGACCAGTATAGGGTTCCTCCTCGATTAGAAACCTACGGCCATGGCCCACAGGATTTTTGTCCACTTGCAGCTACCTGCCAGCAGTCCTTGTATCTCCCCACTTGGAAGGATCAAACATTTGCTGGTTGGTGTCAGTGTTGTGTTTCATTCAATCCGGTACCATAGAATGGTGGTTGCACTACGGTCCTCGTCCTAATGGGGTCCCTGACTTTGCCAGGCGCTAAACGATCAAAATCGCAATGTGCCGAGTAAGGAAATTAAATGGAATTGCAAAGGCACTTGTTTGGCATGTGTCAATGCAAGTATAAAAGGTCCCTGAGGAAAAGTGTCTTTTTCAAGGCCCAGGCACTTGGAAGTTCAGGGCAAAGAGTTTCGGAACTGGTTGGCAGTCTTTTGGCATGGCCCGGCATGGCCCGTATGCAAAGCAGACGCTGCTTGTATGCTTACTCGCTTGGCTGTTTGTCATGGTGTCCTTTCCGTTCTTGAACTCATGGCACGCTGCCCTCGGGCAATGTTAAGATGCTTCCTTGCGCAATTTCAAGTGGCTTATTGTTGTTGAATCCGTTTCTTTTGGATAGAGTCGAAGGCAGAGGAAAACCCAACCATTTGGTTCCCGCTCTTTGGAGAGAAGCCATGCTTGGAAAGCTGGGATTGGCAGTTTTCCGTGCTATGAAGGGGCAGCCCGTTTAATGACAAACCAATCACAGGCATGGCATGGCCCACTTTCGTCGTGGTTCCTGCATGCCATGCCGTGCCAGGACGCTCCAGCATTCTGCAATGGAGATACTTCCTGGCATTGGATGGCAAAGTTTCATGTTAGTACCCAGTCCGCTTTCTTGAGAAAACTGGAAATCATGTGCCCTTTAACAACCTAAACATGCAGTGGCCACGAGACAATCAGGCTGCCTTTGTTTGGCGGCTAACTGTTGGGGGAAACCCCAAAAGAAAAGGGAAATACCGGACTGGAGCTTTGGTGAACCTCCCAAAGAGGATACACAAACGGCGGGTTCCATTTGCTGATTACCCGGGTCAGCTGGCCACATTGCCAACTTTCTCAAGTGGAGACTTATAGGGGGAGTATGAGTATGCTTGCTCACCTTTGCTTGCAACATGCTACTTGCGAAGGGGATGCCATGCCCTTTGGTTCCCTCGCCGCTGTGCGAACTGGAGGCAGGTAGCTCAGTGTGCCGGACTGAGGACTGCATTTGGGACGGCACAGCATGCGTAGCCAAGGTCCCTTGGCAGCAATCTGAAGCCCCAAGAGCTTCCTCGAGAAATGGGCTGAGAGGCCTTCCTGTTTAGGGAAGAAATCCTTCAAATCCTTCATTGGGGGGAAAGACATACTCACCCATAAGGCTCTACTCAGATGGTCGGCATCTTCTCCGCAAACGGAGATTCCTCGAATCCCCGGAGATTCCTCTGAGTTTGTTTCAATTGTTTGTTCTGCAATGCGAGGTAATGTTAGTACTTCATTCAACATGTCCCAGCCTGCAAAAAGGGGCCGCAGTTATCCAAAGACAACCTGTTGACATTTGGGCGCTTTAGTGCTGGTCCAGGGTCCATATTCGTCATCCCCAAAGGTCAACCTTTGGGCACGTGACAGGGTTCCCTGTATTTCCTTGTTTATTGCTTTTTAACGTCACCGTTTGGGCCAGAGGAAATGGTGTTTCCTTGTTGGTGTTTCGTTGTAGGTTCTCGACATAATATATATATATATACATATATATATATATATGTATATATATATATATAGAACTTTCTTTCCCCGTCCATCCTCAAAACCAAGACAAACAAACCCCAAAGCATCCCAATCCACCCACCCATCTCAGCACGGTGTGTGCTTCACCGCTTGAGTCCGCAGCGGCCTCCGTGTCCTGCGGCGGGCACAGGGCGCCGGACTGCAGCAAGTGCTCGGAGGGCCATGGCGAGGGCTGGTGCCACGGCGCCTCAGACTCCATGACTTCTGGGTATACGGGTGCCACACGCGTACCACATGCGTGTGAATCGATATGAACTATTTACTGTTTACTGGAATGGCCATTAGAGCCCTTGAGCCCTTGAGTGGACATGTAGGTGGGAATGTGTGTCCAACTGTTGTGTCAATGGGCTCCCCATTCAAAATCATAGCCATGCGATCAAAGTGAAATGGGGGCGCGAGGTCCTTAGTCAGGATTCTATTGGCCACACAAAACTCACATTTGTGCCCCGTTTGCCCAGTTTGGGTGTCCGTTATTGATCCTTGCAAGTAAATGTTTCCTTGTTTGTAGGGAAGTCTGGCTAAGACAAGGGCCCAACACAGAGTTTACAGCCAAATAGGTCCATTGTCATATTGTACTCTTCTCAGGTCAGGTTAAAACCACAGGGAAAGTTATCATTTTGTAGGTTCCTTAATTTGACATGCCCATAGAGAATTTTCAGCCAACTTGCAGCCAAGCATATATTTGTTGGTCTTTGTTGCTGACACTGCCGCAGGGCGCCTGGTTGTTTTGTGCCTTTCTGCGGGTTCGCTGTCCTGCGCATCCACAACCACTTCACCAATGCTGGCACATGACAATACCCATGCTTGCGTGCGTCCACAGCAGCTGCACGCATGCTGGCACAAATGATGACAAGCATGCCCCCACGCGTCCACAGCCCCTGCACCCATGCTAGCACACATGATAATGCGCACCTTTACGCGCACCCAGAGCCACTGCACCCATGCTGGCACAAATTGTCACACACACACACCCTCATGCACATCCACAACCACTGCACCCATGCTGGCACAAATGATGATAAACACGCTCACGTGCTCAGCTCACGTGCATCCACGACCGCTGCACCCATGTGGCACACAGGAGAATAATTACACTCACCGGTGGCCATCTTGACCCGTAAGCGGAGAAAAACACCCTTACATGTACAACATCAGGGTCAGCATTTTTCCACAGATGCTCCATCACCAGCCAGTCACTCAGTCATGCGTGTGACTGGCTGGGTCAAATTCAGTTCTGGTTCCCTTCGGCAGATGTCTTTTCGCTTGTTGTACTTGTAGTGGTGTCCCGCTATGGATTGCGACTAGGACTGGGGATGTCCCGTTTTGAAGAACCGCACCTGCAGTCGCTGCGGGTGTTTGAGAAGCCGGCTGGTTGGATTGTAGCTGAGGTGATTGTCTTTGGCACGGGGGTAATTGCGTCCCTGCCTCTGGAGAAAACAAAGCAGCCGCGGAGAAGGAGACAGGGAGATCAGGCTGGCAGAATCATACCTCATGGCTTCAAGGAGGGACACTAGGACCAGATCCTTCTGAAAGGTAAGAGGCCTTTCGAGACCCCCTTCTAAGAAACATCCCTTGTGCCTTTCGTTTTTCTCCCCTTCTCAATTGTTGAAGCGTTTTGCTCGACTTGCTGGCTTGCCGGTCAGGTTGTAGCCCAGTTGTTCAATGGCTTGGTGGTGGGCGGGTTCCCGACTCCAAAGGGCCCAAGTGCCCAGCGTTGCGCTCGGCGCTTGTTCCCTTCCTAATGTCCAGGGTTGGTTGCAACATGTTGTTTTAAGCAGTCGTGGCTATTTTTTCCGGGAAACCAAAAGGAGCTTGTTTAAACAATGGTGGCAAACCCGATGCCTGGTCTTTGTTTCGAGCAGTGACGAAGGAGCGCAATGGACAATCCGTGCAGTGGTTCTGATGGTAAGATAGCTTCGGCTCTCCTCAATTGGGATGGTTCCAGTTTTTGACAGCACTTGTTGTTAATGTCACTATTTTTGAGATATATAGTGACTTTTAGAATCACTGCGATTTGGGCTTGTACATTTTGAGGGCAATTACCCCTGTACCCCAAGAGAGACAGCTATGGGGTCTTAGCCCAAGCCAATAGTAGACTTAAAACGGACCTGGGGGAGGTTCCAGGCAGGTTCTGGGGCTGAAGAGGTTGCCGGTTGTTGGAGGTGGTTGGCCTGGACAGCTTCCTGGCATTGTGGGGGTGAATGGGGTAGGTGGGTGTACGTGGCATTGGCATTCATATCAAGATCACCGAGTGCTAGGTCCCATATGTGTAACAAGCCGCGCATGTTGTTTCCAGTAGGAGCAGCTGCTCACGCGTCAGTCACAGCCCAGCCTCCGGACGGGAGGCGCATCATGTCGGAAAGACTCAAGGCATGACATATGTACCCAAATTTCTCCTGGATAGAAACCAACAGGAACCACCATTTATTGAGTCCCCTTTTCTTTTGATGCAAGCCCCATGCATCCTGTGCAGTCAACATGGGGGGCGGCAGCGGGGCACCTCAGAAATGAGTTGCTAGAAACCCTCCGCCCCAACGAAGAGGTACTCCCTCACGCGATTCCATGGAAGCTCTCAGGCAGAGACAAATGGAAGATCCCCGGGACGTTGTGGGAGGCTACCCGCGAAAAAACGGAGCCACACCAAAGCGTGGAGCATGCAAAGGGTGACTTTGCTCTGAGAAAGTGGTTGAGCTGCACCTGGCAACTCTGGGCAACCCTCTCTGAGCAGCATTTCTGGCTCAGCGCTCCCAGAGATCAAGGCTGAAAAACCAATCCGTTCCTTTCGATTTCCTTTAGTAGCTGATCCCCGCAGACGCAATGACTGAGATGGTGAAGTACGACATGGGCATGCAGGGAATGCATGGCGCGCAGGGCGTTCATACCTTGCAGAACCTGCAATACATGCGCATGGGAGGCATGCAAGGCATGCACGAGATGGACATGCACTACTCAGATGGCCTGAGCGATGTGGGCAGCATCGATGGCTCCTACATGGGCGGCATGAGCATGGGCGTCATCAGCATGGGCGGCATGAGCATGGGCAGCATGAGTACGATGAGTGACATGAGCAGCATGAGTGCCACTCATTACATGGGCGGCATGAGCATGGGCAACGGCATGATGGGCATGAACGGCATGAGCGGTGGGATGGACTACATGGGGGGCTACGGCAACATGAGGATGGCTCAGCGCACACGCATGCCCCAGGACACCGGGCGCTCGCCAGTGGCAAGCCTCGAGGCGGAACGCCAGTGGCTGCTGCTCCTTTTGAAGCTGCGCAGTTTCCCACTGGACTGGCGCAGCGGCGACGAAGCTGGCCGGCGCCTGGATGCTTTGGGCAAGGAGGCAGGGAGACGAGAGAATTTGGGAAGCCAAAGCCTGCGGCATCAACTCAACCCGATGTGTTGGATGCGAACCCATGGTGGCCTTACCAGCTTGCTCTTTGGTTTGGATTTGGGCTTTGGAGGTTGGATGAGCTTAGGGGGTTGCCCCCGTACCCGCAACAAGAACCGGAGGTTCACCCAAGCCACCAATCCAAACCACCAACCAGCATGGCAGCCCTGCCAAAACGGAGGTCCGGTACAAGGATACATCCCGAAACAACCTGCTTTAGGACCTGGATCCTCTAAATCAGCTGGTATCGCCTGTCCTTGGAGCATTTGCTGCGACAAACACTCCTGGATTTGTGGGCATACTGCATCAGAATCAAATACAGTAGACATAGGGATATCAGTTGCTGGTAGACAGATCCACTGCGAGGCCAACTCTGCCGAGGCGGAGCATTTTGCCGTGACAGGGTTTCTGGTTGCCCATAGGTTTAGAGATCAAGCTCCAATTTCCCTTGCAAGACTCATACTCATCAGGTGCGGCTCTCGGATCTATATGCAGCTTGCCCCACCTTGCGCAAGCGGGTGTCCTCCTATGGCGGTCTGGGAAAGCTTTGGGCTGCGAGTCACCAGCGGCTTGAGCAAGATCTTGCTACCATCCGCCTTTAGCCGGACACTACCTACCCAAAAGATGTCAATTGAATTGAACATGCCTGAGTGATTTGGGGGCGGGGCACCTCAGAGGATAGACACTGCTGCATATTCCTTGGTAAGCCCGCTGGTTTGGGGGCAAAGCGAGGGAAAACCTATCATGCAGGTCGTTTGGCCAAAACTTGGTGCCCGTATGTCGTTTGGTGGGCACATGAGATCTATGTTTCAACCATCTAATTTCTAACAGTGTTGGGCCTGCAAAATGGTCTCCGAGTGTCCATGGCACGGGTATGATAAAAGTAAATGGAACCCGCGGAAGCCCAAAGTTGCTCAACCAGCTCTTAGGGCTGACAGCGGCAGTAGCTCGAGAACTCACCTGGGCCCCCAACGTAAGTCTGCACCCTTGGGCATCCTTGGGGCTCTCCACAGTGAGCCATGGGCGATTTCGATTCTTGGAGATCTTTATTTATAGTCGTGAGCCATGACACTTCACCCCCTCCCCCAAAAAACCAGGGATGGGTAGAATAATGCCGGCGCTGATGCATCATGCCAAGGATGGGGTCATCAAGGTGCACAGTTCAACCAGACTGGGAAAGTTGATAATGAATAGGTCTGATGCAATGTGACTGTGCAGGCTCTTTTGTGCATTTTTGTGGATGGAGGATGCGTGTGCTTATAGGGGGTGCGCGAGCAAAAGGCAATGGGAATATTGTCAGTTTGTGGGTGTTGGTCAGGCCTTATCGGTGTTGCAGGTTGGTTGGTTGTTGATAGTCCATTTACTGTCAATTTCTATTGGTATGTCCGGGCGTTTGTATTGTATAGATACGCGTGACCCTTGCGTCCTCCCTGGAGTTCTTGATGGAACCCATCCACCGTTAACGCGCCAAGACTGCCTCGCCATGCTTGCTATTCACGCGCGAGTGCGCACGAACAGAATCGCAGCTCTTCGATACATGGTTGAACTGCTTTGCTGGCTTCCGCGCTCCTCTCCTCAGGCTTATATGTAGTAACACTAAATTCACATTCATTAGGACCAATACCCTCGCTGCAAGGTTGGGTTGGGTAGTTTTGTTACAGCCGTTGGCCTTGAGGAAACCCAAAGGAGGCCGCTCCATGGGCGATTCAGGGCCATTAGGAGCCATATCGTATCCTCTTTATGCGTCTATTTCAAAGTAGGGGTTCGCTTTCCAAAGGGAGCCCTCAAAGGCACAAGCCACAGCTAAGGTGGATGTTACCGACCCAGATGTTCTCGGACTTGCAGGAAGCCCCGAAGCGAAGGGTCAAGGCCCCACAGGTGGACGCCAGGCAACCTGCCCGGACTGTTTTCGCCTGCTTGCCCCTTGACACCTCCCCGCAGGTGAACGTTGGCCTTTTTGGGGTGCCCTTGGTTTCCTTTCAACCAGCCAAAGCGGAATATTTCCCTTTGGGTGTTCCTCCATTTCAACCACCAAGAAATGAACATTTGGCCTTTCTGGCGTGTCATTGACTTTTTTTTATCCAGCCAAAAGCGAACTTTGGCCCTTTCCGGGTTTCTTCATTTTCGTTTCAATCAGTTTGGGGTGCCCCATGATTGGCGAGCTTCCTATTTGGGGGTTGCTTAATTGTCCCTTTCAGTCAGTTTGGGGTGCCCTTAATGTCCTTCCAACCAGCCAAAGGCGAACTTTTGCCCCTGCGGGTACCTTCACTCTCAATCAGCCGAAAGGGAATCTTTGCCCTTTGTGCGTTTCTTGATTTTCCATTTCAATCAATTTGGTCCTTGATTTCCTTTCAAGCAGGGCAAATGCGAACTTTTGTCCTTTGGGGGTACCTTCATTTTCAATTGAGCTTTGGCCCTAGCGGGGCTTTTCATTTTCCGTTTCAACCAGCGAAAAGTGGCCTTTCAACCGGCCAAAAGCGAACTTGCCCCTTTGGGGTTCCCTCATTTTCCGTTTTAAACAAACAGAAGTGAACGGTTGGCCTTTTCGGGGCGTCCTATGACTTCCATTCAACCAGCCAAAAGCGAACTTTTGCCCTTTGGGATTTCTTCATTTCTTGTTTCGACAATTTATGACACCGAAATCACCGAAAGCTTGTTATCCCACTGGGTACATACTGACCGTTGCTCATGGACTCAAGTACATATTGTCAGCCATAAGGGTTGGGCCGACCACTTGTTTCAGCATGTTGAAAACCAGGGTTGGGGGTTGAAACCGCTCTTGTTTAAACAACCCTTTTGGCTTGAGCTCAAACGGGGGGCCATGGGGGCTGCGGAAAAGATGGCTTGGACATTAATGCAAAAGTCAGGTCCAAATCTGGCCACCAGCTTGTCAGTCAAGGCATGACAAGAAGGCGTGGCAGCAGCTCCTGGACGATCTCATGGCCTTTCCTGCAGATTGGAATGCCCAGATGCACAAGGCTTGCCCAACCCAGTGTCCTTGTTCAGTTTGTTTGGCTATGTGAGGTTTGCTCAAAATGTCCCGATTTGGGCTGTTCATTCAGGCACACTACGTTTCCCGCGAAACCCGAGGGGGCAGAGCACCCTCGCAATTGGACCCTGTGCAACAACCCCAAGCAGGGTTCCCTGTCCGCATATTTTCACATGCCAAAAACGGTAAATGTTGACCTTGGCTCACTTGGCTCCAGGGTTTGGACATGCATGGTGTAAGCAACTGGACCCTGGCTCTTTTGAAAGGGAAAACAGAGGTTTCTCCTCTATGTATATGGTAACGCCTTTACTATGCATGAGTTTGCTGCTGTCGCCGTGTACTTGCATGGTGTATTGGGCCCCACTGTGTGAACAACACTACAAATATCAATATGTTTGAGCTTTGAACTACAAACTCCACACCAGAAAGGGGGCCCGTTTTTTGTTTCTCGAAGTTCTGCAATGTCAAAAAAAGCGTTTCCCGGCCAGTGTTTTTTTTTGACGTTTAAAGACAGAGATCATGTGTATTGGAAGGTTCAAAATTCCCGGCAGGACTGTTGAAAATCTTCACACCTGACAGTCCTGAACAACTTGACAGGTTTTGAACATATTTCAGGTTGGAACGAAGATTGAAGAGACGATTCCCCAGGATACTTTTCCCAGAACATTCAATCCTGCCCAGCTCAGCCCCGAGAAACTTTCGAGTTGTTGTACTGACTTTGAAGGTTTGTCTACTGGATCGAAGATAAGATTCCCAGGTACGTTGTTTTTCCGTGGCCAACCTTGAAAGGGAAACGGAGGTTGCTGAAACAAAATTTGTTCAAACATATGTCAAACAACCCCAGACTACTATTCGCTAAACCTACCACACATGCACACACACACACATGTGTATATATGTTGTTTCATTCACATAGCGCCACGATGCACAAATGTATATACATATAGACGCAAGCAGGTATACATACATGTCCAATGCATGCATTCATACATACATTCATGCATACATTCATACATTTCATACCTTGATGCATGCATGCGTACACTCACACATACATTCATAGTTTTTGTATATTATTATCATTATTATTACATACATACATCTACACATGTATTCATACCTGCATTCATGCATTCATACATGCATGCATGCATACATGCATTCTTCACACATTAATACATTCAGACATTCATACATTCATGCATTCATGCATTCATGCATTATTTCATGCATGCTCGCTCGCATGCTTACATTCATACATACATTCATACGCGCATGCATCCATTTATGCGTACATACATTGATACAAGCATGCATGCATACATACATTACATACATACATACATACATAGATGGACAGACATACATCTGTACATGTTTGCATGCATGCGTACATTCACATATCCATTCATACATTCATGCATTCATGCATTCATACATTCACACATGCATCCATGCATGCAAACATCCATACATACATTCATGCATGCATGCATTTAAGAGAGGGTTGGCCCTTGTCGCGCTTGGCTCCGAAACGTGGGTTTCAGGATCTTCGCGGCGCCCTGCTGGGGAGGCAGTTGCATTTGGCTCACCGCTTCGCCAAGTGCCCGGGCCTGCGACGCCAAGTGGACCAGGAAGGAGGCGGGACATGGCGAGCGAAGGGCCACGTCCTGTCCGGAAAGAATGAGGAGGGGTTGTCAAAATTTGGTACCCTCTCTTGAATCCAAGTTTTAGGAGCCGTGGAATGGGTTCTAACGAACGGGTTTCTTTCGGAGACTACTCTCAGTATCCTTTGGTGCAAGCTGTACTATATCCCGAGTATTTGAATCCGCTTAGGGTCCCGCTATTGCGCAGGCGCAAATACTTGTTTTGCTCTGCTTTCTCAACCTTTGGGGCCTCTCCAGGTTGTTGAGTTTCTGTTGGGTTTCCTTCTCACCCATCCAAACAGGGAGTCACTTGTTGTGAGAAGCACCCAGAAATGTTCCGCTGATCGGTGACCAACACCAATCTGACGGGAGTTTATTGACATCAAAAGAGCACAGGGATATGATTCAGCCATTCAAAACATCAGCTTTACCACCAGGCGGGAACCACTGTTTGAGCTGATGTTCAGCATGATCTAAGCCTTGTTGGAGTAAATGTGACCGGGTTTGGGTTGGGAGATAGGTACTTGCTGGTTCCCAGTAGGGAATCACGCATGGGGTCATGGGTGTGAACCTGAAGATCACAAGGAAGGGTTTATGGGGGCGTATTGCCCCATTCCCTACATACTGTGAGCCAGAGTTTTACACTTGGGTGAAAGTAGATAGCACGACCACCCGTGTTTTTTAGATTTTACCGAATCATGATCTCTGCAGACAGAAAGGGAACAGTGTCATCTACTGTCAGGTACAGGGTTGGGTGATTTACGCCATGTTTGCAGCACTGTCTTCAGCAACAAGTACGTGCGTCTGGGAATGTCGCGGGAAAATCGCAGGGTACCCGTCCAGAGGCAGGTGATGAGCCCCAAATGGAAACAAATGTGACTGGGCACCTGGAAAGCCCCAGAGAAAGCTTGTTTTTTTTTTTTTTTTTTTTTGTGTTTAAGGGACCAGTGGAAACCTTATCTAGGAGCCCTCACCGATTTTGGAGCAGCCTAATTGCTTGGCCGGCCTGGTCTGGCCAATTAGCGTTGGACGCGTCGTGGATGCTAGGCTGCCATTGGTTTCTTGTGAGGGTGGGGGCAGTCTCTATGAGACCCGTTCGGCTACGGGCATGTCATTCGCCCAGGGAAGTTAAGGTATTTGCCTTTCTGAGTTGTTGTAGGTGGGAGTGAGGTTGACACGTGGACGTCACAAGCAAAGTTGCTTGTAAATTTCGCTGGAAGCCCGGTTTTCCGTCCTCACACCCGCTGCTTTGACTTCCGCTTTACCTTTTGGCTTATGGGGCCAAACAGGAGCTTGGTCGGAAAAGCTGCGAAATGGATATGGATGCACTTGCTTGCGTGCACGCGTAACAATGCTTCCTCATACCCTCCATGGAATTTGGAGTCCTTCATTCTTCGCAAGAAGTCAGAAGGTGTAGGCATCGCGGCCAGACTGTTTCAAATGCTGTTTTGTATACCCCCATATGTGATCCCGTGGCCATTTGCTTGTTTGTCATAAAGCGACTGGCACGGGCTTGCTGCAGGTCTGTGCAACCTATGGCAGAAGCTTCATCAACAGGCAGCGGAAGCGGATCCATCAGGCAGCTCGGCTAGACAGAGAGTACAACGCTCCCAGTGGTTTCCTGCTGCTGTACTGGGCGCCAATTGGACATATGTTGTCTTTGTTTCCCCCAAAGGGCATGAAGGCGTGACATGTTTCACTGGCCCCCCCGAAAGTAGGGGGGCAGTGCTGGAGAGCCCCGCGATCGACAGGCAGCTCAAGCAACTGGTTGCCTGAAAACACAGGTCCCTTGTGTTCCAGATTTGTGTGTGTGTGTGTGGGTGTGTGAGTGTTTGTGCGTCTTGTTTGCGTGGTTTGATTGCTTGTTCGTGTTTAATCTGTTTGTTTGTTTGTTTGTTTGTTCGCTTTTTTGTTTGTGTGCATTGTTTGGTGTGTTTGCTTGCTTGCCTGCCTGCCTGCCGTTGCCTGCCTGCCGTTGCCTGCCTGCCTTGCTTGCGTGAGGATGAATTTGCGCCAAGTTCGCTACATGGGAATAGTCTATGCCAATAAGGGATTCGCTTCAGTTTACAGAAAGGGAGGGAATTCATAATGACAGACAGATGCAGCAACTGTGCACACTTAACTACATGTGTGTTGGGAAGTACCACAAGTTTGCTCTTTGTGCTTGTGCGCGCAGCCTTGGGCAGAAGGCGCTGCTGCGCGTAGCCGGCGGATAAATCTAGCGTGCCAGCTAAACGCTGTGAGCGGATCGGTGAGCAAAAGCCCTTGCCTTGCCCGTTTCGAACACAGCCTTAGAACAGTGCTGAGGAGATGCGGCGATGAGCAATTGAATCCTTTCAATCAGAAAGGACTGAAACCAGCAGTGTCCTACATCACGAGCGCGCGCGCGCCGTATAGCTCGTCATCGTTGGCGCATGGGCTCACAAGATATCGCCTGTTCAATACTGCGTGAGCCTTAATTGCATTCGGGCGCAGTTTTCCCGCACGCGACGCGCGGTTTGCGCTCGCGTCTACGAGGCTTTGGTTGTGTTTGCGCTGTTTAGGGTTGTGGCCCACGTCGGAGACCTCAAGCCTTGGCTTCTCGGTTGAGGGTTTTGCTGGCAGAAATCCAACTTCGGGCCGTTGTTGCTTCGTGTTGGTGTGTTGTGTTGTGTTTCTTGTTTGTTGGGTCTTCATCCCTTTGGGGCGTGTGTGTGTGTGTGCTGAGTATCAGTTCACCCTTGGCACCGCCATTGCAACAAGTAGGGGGCGCAAGCAGCAGTGAAGGGGCTTGCAAAACAAGACGAACCTGCTATGAGTGATTCTGAAAGTCTAGTTTTACTTTTGGAACCCAGTGTTACTTAGTGTAGCTTGAGGTCGGGGAGAAGTCATGGGCCCCTCCATGTGGTCACTCCTCCATGTGGGGTTTCTAAAACTGTTGGTTTGGTAGGGGACTCCCACCGGAATGTTGACCCGGCCTGAGAACCCACGCCTTGGCAACACCAACGCGCTTCAGGCACCTCCGGCGATGTGAGCTGGACCACATCTTCTATTTCAGGTGCAGACTTCCTTGGCCCATCGCCAGACCAGGACTGGGCTTCGAGTCGAGGGTTCACATGGGAGGTTCTCAAAATCATGGTCCCAGGACGTGTTTTTTTTTGGGGGCTTTCCCTTTGCCAAGCAAAGGGAGTCCTCTTTGATTCACAAATGTTCATGTGGTTTGGACTGGTGGCTTGGGGATTTGAACCTTTGGCTCTTGCATTGGGCAAATGGAAAACCACCCCGGAACCTCCAAACCACCAATCCAAACAACCGACTAGAGGGCACCATAGGGCTGTTTTGTTTGCTGATGTCATGCACCGATTCAGGAGCTCCCGGCCAAAGAGAAGAACAAGATCCCAAAGCCGCGCGAGGGAGACAACTTGGACCCCGGTGCTTGGGCGGAAGACCTGCTGACGAATGAGGGATGAGCGCCGGCTCCGCGCCGAGCCTGATTACCCTTCAGAGTAACATGGAGCCCACAAGAGGGGGCCGCCACATGAGATTGTCCGATGTGTTTGTTTGCTTGGTCCCAGGGTTCCATGTAGATCTGGCAAGGCCCGTAGTACTGTCACATGTGGTTCCTTGGAATTCGCATGCTTTTTGTCAGGCCGCACTTGCCATGCTATGTCAAGGTGCTTGAGCCGCTGTCAATTCCCCCGATTTGCAGTCGCAGTCTCATCCCATCGTTTGGATTGAGCAGCCATGCTTAGACGCAGTGCGCGGGGTTTTTCCTGATCATGGAATTTTGACACCTTGATTTGCGCTGTTCCAAAACACCAATGTAAGGGCTTTCTTTGGCTCCCTTGGTCAGACAGCAATTGAGCGTGGCTGATCTGACTGGACAACGTTAGACAAATCGGCCTGGGTTCAGGTGGGTCAGGGTCAGGCGAGCCGGAAAGATTGATCCACTTGGATCACGAGTTGGGCTCTGCTACAGGCATGGTCCCTCAAACACGGCAAAAAGGACAGATGGCTTTCGAGAGCCCGGCAGGAGAACAGTAAGGTATGGTAGGGTGATGTCTTGCCTGTGCCTTCATATTGCCACCAGTCTGCCATGTCTCATGATATGCTAGAGTTTCACCAAGATCCAGCAGAGGGCTGCAAGCTGGGAAGAAAAGGCCCCAGATGTGTCCAAATTCTGGGGTCCCTCAAGCTTTCCCAGCGTCCGGACCTGGCTGTTGCCGTACTCTCCGAGCGGAACACGATCCAGGCCTTTCCCCTGTCCAGATGTGTGCGGCGCTCCGAGGCCAACGGCTGTTTTGTTCGAGTGGCGTATGTCTTGTTCTATGCCGTACAGGCTGCATGTGCATACCTTAACCTTGTGCACTGCGAGTTGTTCTGATGGCTTCATATCAGGGCATCGTGAAACAGCCGATGCACACAGCGCTGTTCGCTTGGCAAGTGAAGCCGCGCGTTTTTCTATCTGCTCCAATTGCACGGAGCCAGCCGCATCCCGCCTGTCTGACGGTGCACACTGGTGCCCCCCCGCCCGTCGTGCAGAATCTCGTCCGCATCCTGCTTCTCGCAGTCAGCCAAAAAGGCGCCGGCCGCGGCTTAGGCTTAGATATGTTTTGTGTCGCGTGCGTGCGGCTCCGGCTTGATGCGGCCAATGTTGGCAGTCGGAGCTTCCTGCTTCAGATCCGTAAACACCAACTTCGGATCCTAGCTGCAGTTCTCACATGGGTTTCACAAATGGCAGTACCCATCGGCCCCCAACAGGGTAATTACCAACTCCGAAAATGACGCCGGTACATGAGCCGCGGTCAATATTGGTTGCGTCCCCAACTGACATTGGAGTTTGGTGCAGAATTCCAAGTTTCTCAATGGTGCCGCTTTTGCTATGTCTTACCCTGTGGCTTCGCTTGAAGCCCCTGCCAACAACACTCGTTGGTGCACAGATCCCTTTGGAAGACTATTTTATTCCCGCAAATGTGTTGGTGCGTGTGTGTGTGTGTGTGGCGTGTGTGGGGCCAAAAGACACTCGAAGATCTTAATGGTCTCTTATAGTCAATTATAGTCAACACTGACCCCTGGCTTGTGCTTTGCTTCTCAAACCCCCAAAAAGTATTTGAACCAACCAAACGAGAACCCCAAGTGCAATCACTAGGGGGCTCATCCAAGGGAAACTCACCTCTGGCAAAAAGGTGATGTTTGAACCCATAAGAAGCAGGGGCCTGGAGGTTCGGAGAGGCTTAGGTTCCTGGAGCGTTCAGGGCACAATTTGTTTGGGTGCCTTTCTTTGGGCTTCAGGAAGACGCGAGCTGTGATGTGTGAATCATTGTGAATCCCTTGAAAACGACAAGCGTTGATTTTCGGGTCATGAGTCAGCAATCAACAAAACCGTGGCCCTTCCACGGTTTTTTGAGCGAGTCGGCTCTGAATCGGTACTGGAATCGGAGACTCCCTAAAACCGACAAGGGATCCTTGTTCCTTGTGTTTGACGACCTCGCAAGAAGTGTTGGGCCCCCAAACATGTTTCCTGTATATGATTTGGACACCAAACATTGGATGGTGTCTTGGTGCTGCAGTGAATTAGCTTCTTCTTCTGGGCAGCAAGCAACACTCGTTTCTTGGCAGTCTTATGGCGATAGCGTAATTTAGCACCAACATTGTTAAACAAAAGTCATCCCCACCGATCCCCATTTCGAGCCAGGGACCTTCTCCTTCAGTCAGCTCTTCGGCATGGCGTCCACGATAAGGAGCGAGCCGGAGCCCAGCCCGGAGGAGCTTTACACTGGGTACGCGCCTTGGATAGACACTTGAAGGAGGAGACCTGATGGAATCGGCTGCTCACCGACCCATTGGTACATAAAGGGGTTCGCCTGCATGGATTAAGGGCCATTGCAGCTCTTTTTCCGGCGCAGGCCTCGGAAGCCGCCTGAGAGGCCGTAGATGGGAAACACACACCACGCAATGAACCCCCCAACTTGGCAAGCGGTTAATTCCTAGAAGATCCTTCTGGCATCAAATCTCGCCCATTTTGGGAAAAGGCACCTTTTTCCTCGTGACGTAGCTTAAGCACCGCGTAGCCCCCACTCTTTTAGACTTGTTGTGCCGTGCCAAGCACTACTTTTGCTTTGAATTCCCATTCTGTGGTGTGCCCTGCCGTTGGCCCGTTGGACTTCCATCTCTTTCTTTTGATCAACCCATGTCTTGCTTTGCTGCCCGCATGGATGGGGGCGTTTGAAAGATCCTGAAATTTGCAGGCGGGCAACCATATTCACAGACTCGCCTAGATTGCCATCCCTACCACAAGTAACGCCAAGTAGTACCAGGATGTGTGTCTATCCCCAGTAAAATGGTTCCACAAAATTGAGATTAAAGGTTGGCTAGTTTTCCTTGTGGTTCCGGTTGAAACCCCACCAGACAGAGAATTCCCCAAGATCACAGACTCTACAAGCCCCTTGTAGTGTATAGGATCCCAAACCTCCCCCAGTCTCCCAACCCCCATGTTCTTCAAAACAAGGCCGCAGCGGTGTTTTGGCGGAGCCAGGGCCGAGGCAGATGTGTTCAGTTCGAAGGGGTTAGGGGTTCGCTTGTTGTAGGGGTGGGTTCAGGGGTTGCTTGTGGCGGGTCGCGATATTTGTCCTTGCTTTTAAGAAAGGCACCTAGGGTTCGAGTTTGATATGTTCACTTGGCAGATGCCCACCAGGATTCTTGAAAAGTGTTGTTGGGGGGACATTTCTCATTTAGAATTTCAGGTCTGTGCATGGGTCGGAAAAGGATTCCAAAAGGACACCAACCGATGTTAACGTCGGATTGATCACCCCCGCCCCCTCAGAAAGTCGAGCCTCAGATTTTTGAGGCTCCGGGGGAGAAGGTGGTCTGCGAGAGAAGGTAGTGGCCGCTCTAATAGACGCATCCGGAAACTAGCTAAAGTTTTAATTGGGCTGGAATTAAAATCAGTTGGCTTTTGCGCGGGAAACTGGTTCCGCCAAATGCGCGCCGTGGTCGGTGGCCTGTGTCAGCATTAGAATTGTTTGGTGTCGGATCCCGAACACGCGCCTTAGTAATCGGTGGCATTCATTACCCCAATGTTAACATTTTACTAGGGATCCCCAACTTTGAGACACACTCAAGGCTTTTTAGCCAGAGCATGGCGATCCATCCGGCCAAGCGGCTCATGGAAAAGAGGCCTGATGTCCCTAATGCCACCCAGAATTTATCCAACGCAAGTAACTTAAGACATTTCGCTGGGCGCGGGGCTTTTGCTCACGCTTGCCCCGCAAGGTCCGCAATTTAGTGGGGTACTCGGTTGGAACAGCTGTGGAGGACGGGCAGCAGAAGAAGGGCTTGTTGAGTCTTGTGTGTCGTCGTGGTTTGTGACAGGGTCTCTTGCAGGATATGTTTGGGCAGCTGGCTTAATGTGGAGGATCCCCCCATCAAGCAGGTTTTGGCAACCCCATTGAGGAACTCTTATGCATTGCGGGTGAAGGCGGCCTCTAGATAGGGCTGGAGCGGGCTGGGGCTCCATCAGGCTGTCAAGCTTGTGCGACAATTGAGTTCGGATTCCGGAGGAAATGAAGCTTCCAGCCACAGGAGTCATGTTTAGGCCAGCTCGGTTGAAATAAGATGAACCTGTCTTCAGCTCTGTCCTTTTCACAAACCCTCCAACAATCACGGAGCTTGACCGGAGGGCTTGGGAAGGCTACCTTCCTTTTGGGGAAGCTTTGTGTCCACTTCCGAATTTCTTGGAAGCGGATTGCCAGCTTTACAAAACAGCGCAAGGCGAGTACCCCTTCGATCGCCCAAGAGTCAGGATGTTTATGTTTCTGACACCCTTTCCAAGTTCATCCCCACATCTTCGAATGTTTTGGTCGGCAGGGTAGTCTTTAAGGATCATTGCGGGGACCCCCCCCCACAAAAAATACAAGTGTTTGATCCCTTTGGTCTATCTTTAGATAGAACCTGAAATGATTCCTCAAAAAGTCATAGCCCCAGCGGTTAATTATTTTGGGCTTAGCGGGAAACCTAGGGCCCCACCCAACTTTTCTGTTGGCGGGCACAGAATCAAACAGTTGCAACTGTCTGGGCGCTCAATAAATCATATGGCCCAAAGGCAGATGAACAAAACACGTCGAAAGGGACCTACTTTTAGGCTTTTTCACAGCCAGGATCCCAGCAAAGACGTGCTGGTGAATTGCTACGCGCCCTGGTGCGGCCACTGCCGGAGGTTCAAGCCAAACTACCAGGACTGGGCGCTAAGTAGCGTGTAATTTTGAGTCCAACCTTTTCCATTGCGATGGGAAGCCTGCTGCCACAACATGGTCGATGAATGGACTGGTAACTAAGTTGGTTTTCAGCTGTCCAGATTCAACTCTGGATACAGCTCTCTGAAGGCCTGTCCAATCCATGATGAGGTTTTTTAGACACCGTCCCTAGTAAACGGAGGATAAATTGGTCCCAGCGGGTCAAAGCGCAAAGCATTGCCATTCCAGGTTTCAGGAAGCGGCCGCAACGCACATGATAGGAAGGCACGACGAACGAAGCACACTCATTACATATGTATTCCACTGACGCTCGGCTTTCATTAGAGATTTGGCTGAATGCCTTGTTTTCAGAAAGATGATTGGACCGTGCCTCCTCATTCCTGGCAAGTCATCGGTTGCCGGGCAACTAAAAGATTCGTGCAGATTTCTGACAGCAGAACTAATTGCAAACCTTAGCTTGCGCAAGTCTCCTGCGCAACGGCTCTTGCGCAGCGAAGCCTTCAGAAACTGAGTGGGAAGAAAGAAAGCGTGTGTTTGAAGGGATGTGCTTTCGGGACATTCAGCGTCTAACGTTTCGCAAGAGGTTAGGGTGGCTCCTAATTTCCTTGCAGTTGCGGACCAAGAGATTCGTGTATGGATTGATGCATGGACTCCAGGCCAATTTGGCTTCCCATTGATGATTGTTCTTGAAGTCAACCTGTTCACAATGTCTGGGGCAAATTGCTCTCGAGGTGAACGTTTTGAGGGCTGTATGCAATAAATTGCGGCGTGGTGGTTTCCCTGCAAGCCACCATTTACAGGGTCATGTTGAGGATGTCATTTTGACCCAGTAGAAAAGCACAAACCGCTGAGGCCGAACCATGCCGCCGAGAAATCAACAAAATGGTCTTCACGAACTGCTGATCTTGTACGCCTGTTTCAAGGTCTTATCTAAGAGTTGTGCTTGGGCATGTGCCCTGGTTGGCCCCATTCTTTTTGAGTACAAGTAGGGTCGTGTACCCCCAAGCCGTGTTTGCACTATCTGGCGTTTAGGGTAAGAGCTACAGGTCGGGGTTAGTTCGCAGCATTGTGACACTCACGTGTTTGCGTTTTAACAGCTCGCAGGCTCGCACAAACTGCTCCCTCTGCTGTGGCGAAGGGTGGGCTTGCACGCCCTTTGCCGTCTTTGGTGCGTGTGTTTGTGTACGGCTGCTCCCGCTGAGCCACAGAGTGTTGTCGAAGATTGGCAATCTGCAGCGGGCATCTTGTCCTTCCTGCTAAACGGTTCAAAGTTTGAAGCTTGACAACCAGAGCTTTGCCAACTTTGCGCGGGTCGACGGCGTCCGAGCGCAATGGAAAGTGGCCGCATGATTGCCACAGTTTGGCGCAGAATTTCGTAGTGCGCGTGGGATACAAACTGTCTATAGAGTCTATGCGTTGGCAAAACACATCTCCCGATTCATACCCCCTAACTCATACCCCGAATCATGCCCTTCTGCAGCCACCTGCGGCGCAGAGCCCCGTGTGCTTTAAGCGAAAAGTGACCGGATCTTTCTTCGCAAGGTAGGAAAACCGAAGGAGAGGACTGCAGAACGATCTGGCCGGAAGGCTTGGAAGCCTTGCAAGCGGTTAGCGAGAGTCTCACTTCCGGGAGCATTGCAAAGAGCGGCTACCCAGCTGCCTGGTGTTTGCGTGTCACAGCAGTTGGAAGCTTCAGCGTTTGGCCTGTTGCCTCGTTCAGGCCATTCACGGAAGCGTCAAGAGGCTGGCTTGTGACAACTGGGCGGCGCGGTTTTGCCGAGAATTGCAGCGCCCAAGCCCACAAAGCAAGACTTCAGAGGTGCGCGAGCCATACCCCGACCCACACTCTCGAACCATACCCCGAGCCATACCTTGGATTCCTACCCGGGAAGTGTACCAAAAGGGCGCGTCACAAAAACGCCCAAACATGTCCAGAAAAAAAAGGCCGACCGTCCAGTGAATGAGTATGCCCAATCTTTGCCCAGGAGTCCCAGGAGGTAAACGAGGTATGAACCCTTGGAACCTGGTTTGCGTAGACCGGGGCAAAGAGTTGTCCTTTAGTAGCCTATCCCGCCAGCAAAGACTGATCGAATTTCTGCCCACACAAACCAGGGTCCATGGATTGAATTAAATATAAACACTTGGGGCTTGGTTGTGTCGAAATGATGGGGCCAGATCAATTCAGTGTAGTCCCATGTATGCAACATCTAAAAAGTGTGTTTTTCCACCCGGGGGCGCGATCAAGGCCCGTATTTGCTCAGTTACCCAGAGGGGAAACCCATGTTTCAATTTCAACACTTATGCTGTTGGCACTGGTCCAAACAAGGGGAAGGACCAACCTGCCAGCTGAGTGCCAGGAGCTCGCCCGGAGGCTTTCCCATGTCTCCAGCCTAGTGGTGTCCCAAATGGACTGCACGCAGAACGACCTCGGCCCTCTCAGACGCGCCTTGCAGAGACGCGCGAGCAATGCTAACACCCCTTCAAATTAGAGCCACCCCCTTATATTTTTTTAAGTGTGTAGTGGGAGCTTCCATTTAACCTACTCAAAGTTAAACCTTTAGCAGCGGATCTGAAGACAGCCCAGTAAACTAGAGAAGAAACATGCCAAACAATACGACTTGGCAACAACAGCTTTCTACAGTGTCAGGTTGTCATAATTTGTCATAGCATGTTGTCCAGCAAGGGAACGCTCGACACATGAAATAATTCGCCCGATGGTGCCCAACATGTGGCGGCTGTTCTGATGAGCCAAGTTGCTGCATGCCGTCCTGGTTGATTGGCAGCGGTGCGGTTGCACCAGGGGTCCTTCCCTTTTGAGCGCCAAGTGTTCCAATCCAGGCCGATCATCGAATGCCCAGCTTTAGAAAGGCAGAAAAATGGGACTGTGAGGGGCCAGGTGTTTTAGATGGCGCAAATTCCGTGCAGTGGAGATATCAAGCATGACAGGGTCCTTGCTAGTTGGCTACCTTGAAGGAGTTCCCTTTCCGGTCCATTTCCAACCCCCCAAAGTCACTCCCTGCTTGACAATCAGCAAGGAACCCTTGCGCACTTCGAACCCTGTCACCTTTGTGTTGTTCCACAGTGGCCCTTGGAGTATCACTTGAACATTTCCCTGCCCAACAAACACTAGGTGTTGTAGGCCAATGTGGAGGCTAGGTGGGGTTTACTGGTCCATTCCCAAATTGTGTTTGCCTCAAGTTGTGTGTGTATGTGGTTTCTTGCCGCTCCGGTTACCTTCTTCATGGTTGGTTTGAAGGGGAACAAGAGAAAACCAAACATTTTGGAAGTCCCCCGCTTTTGGCACATGCCGTTTCAAGCCTAGGAGTGGTGCGGGGATTTCCTACGGTGGCGCTCTTCCCGGCAGGGCGCAAGAATGATATCGCGATTTACGCATCTGAGCTGAGAGTCATTGCTCACCTTGTTGATTGGTTCGCATTGGCTGTTGGCCGTGGTGCTGGCTACAAAGGCTGGGGGTTCTTCGCTTGCTTGATTCGTTGGTTGGTCGGCCAGTTGGTGGGCTGGACGGCTCACGGGGGAGCTCAGCGAAATGCGCAGAGATGTCTGCTTTAATGAAGGAGGTGAACCTCCAACACATCGCAGCCATTTGCCCTTGCACTTATGACCAGCATTTGCCGAGTCGCTGTGCAATTGTGAAGCTGAAGGGTTTCCTTGCCGTTGCAATAGAACAACGAACGCTCCAGCTGAATGCCCTGCTAATATGAGCGCTCTGGAGTGAAGCCTCTGCGCACCGCGCATACCCAAGCCCCTGGTCAGCGCATGCAAGCTACCGCTTTCGGCGATATATGACTCATCCCACTCCCTTGGGCCTAGCCCACGCAACCGGATCACCCCAGCGCGAAAGAAGATGACACGCCTGATCAAGAGAGTTGTTTTCAGGTTAGGCTGAAACAGTTGAGAACCCTGGGGCACTTGCTCCTGAGCGTGTCACTGGAGGTTTTGAGCCAACTCGCTTCAGTCGCAGAAAGCCTAGGTCCTAGGTGACCGCTATCCAGCAGTCCGTAGGCAAAAGGTGCCTATGAATAAAAATCACTGCAAAGGTTGGAATTGATTATTGCTACTCCAAATGCACGTCGCTTTTTGCCCGAGTTGTATCGCCACGGCCAGTCTCGGCTGCAGGGCGGGCCGCCGCAAGAAGGTCCCTTAGGTCAAGTTGTTGAATTGTTAATCATAACATTTGCAAATGTTTGGGCTGAAGCAGCATGAAGCAGCAGGTGTTGCTTTCATTTCGCTGGGCTCCTCTGCAATGGTTATCAAAAACTCAGTGGAACCCCCCTGTCCCCATGATAACAATCTCCCAACATCTCCCAACCGATGGATGACTCTCGCAACGCAAATTGAAAACTGTGTTTACCAGAAAGTTTAAAAGGGGGGCCATTTAGCCTTCCTGCTCAGCTCGGTATTGCAAAGAGGCAGTTTGCTTTGATCACATCTCCGGTGATGAGACATAATGAACAAGTGGATCATGATCAGTTTAACAGCCCAGGGGTCATAAGTTAACATGGTTTGCATGCTGCATTGGCCAAATCATATTGGGGCTGCCGGGTTGCTGTAGATGTCTCCGATCAGGTTTTGGCTCGTGCAGGTTCTATGTTTGTAGTGCCTGGTTGTGGCGTTGCTAGAGTGTTGAGAATGAAGGTCGGTCCGTTATCTTGGCAAGTTGCCTTAGGGCGTGCCTGTGGTTTTGCCCAGCGCTGCGCGCCTGCAGACAAAAGTGGAACTGCAACATTTGCAGGGGGACAGTGTTCTTTATCAAACGCATTCTTGTTCTGGCTTCCACGGCTTACACAAGAAGTTCTTGCAGCGCAGGTGACAAGTGCTACCTCTTTATAGTGCAACCTGTTTGATGGAAGGGCCTTGCTTCGAGTCTGTGCTGTGCCGGGGCCAGACCAGAGGGCGCTGTGCAGGGCTGGCCCGGCCCCTTCCAACGTGGTGCCACCAGCGGTGTTTGAACAACCTGTTGGTGTCCCCGGAGACCCTATGCGAGTTCAATACATGGGTTCCAGCTTGCGCCAAAGCACAATCATGCGTGCAAGAGCCCATTTCAGGTCACCCAACTAAAGGGGCAATTTTGGCCCCCACAGGGCTGGCCTTGTCGCCTTCAGGTCGGAGACAGATCCCCAGACGACTTGGCCAAATGGCTGCACACCAAAGCAACTTGAACGCAGATGTTTGCGTGTGGAGTCCCCTAGCAGTACAAGCAGGTTAGCCTAGGAAAATGGCTTCTGTTTCTCTAACCGTGACTCTAACCTCTACGTAACTTCTCTAACCCTCCGGGATTGGCGGCATGCAGCCACACGGCCCTGGATCGCGATGCTGGCAGGATCAACCTGACGAGTTCCCTGTTTTTTCGGTGGGGAATTTTGATGAGCCCCTCTTGGCCCTCCCTAATGAGCGAAAAGCTACAACCAATTGTTTGAAATGTCCAACATCTCCATTCCAAATGGGTAATTAGTCCTTGTAGAAAAGCGTGCGCGGCATGCGCTTCTTATAGCTTGAGGTCACCCACGCCTTTGCGGACACAGAGGATTCCTTGAACGTGGGAGATCCAGACGACTTGTGAGTCCGAGGGCAGGGGTCTTTGACATGGTTCCTTAAAGGATAGAATTTAGGCCGGCAACGCGAGTCACCATTGCAAGCTGATTTCTAGGTTTCCTCCGGAAAGCTGGAAAGGTTTTGTATGTATCCTTCAAGGAACCCTGTTTGAGGGGAAGTCGGTAGGCAGACATGTTTCGATATGAATAGAAAGCACCTTTAGAAATGGTTGGTTGACAGATCCAGCCGAGACACGTTCCGGATCTTTGCACCGCGGCTTCCCTCGACCTGCCGGCCTTTTTCCGAGTGTCGCGTTTTGAGGCTGCAAAAGCGAAGCCCGAAGCCCTTGCAATGGCAGACCGCGTGCCATCAAACAGAAGTCAGCCTCCTTGGGGACTATGCTTCAAGGGAAACCGTGATAAATGCCATGCATCATTGGCCCACCGGCAGTTGGAGCTACTGCTCCGAGCAAGTTGCTAAACGGCTTCATTTCAAAATTCTGGCCAACAGTTCGCCACAATTTTCGGGAGCGGAGGACTGCCTTGCAGCACATCTTTGCATGTTTGGTTTTGCTCAAACTTTCCTTCCCTTGGGCTATGAGAGAGGGCCCCCCTTTTGTGGTCTCATGCCAAGTCAGCCACCGGCTGCATTTACAATCCACGCCTTCGATTGCAGGGCTGGAAGCTCTGCATGTCCTGTGCCAAAGACCAGTGCACCAGCGCGGTTCGTGCAAAAAGGCCGAAAAAGAGGCGCCGGACGATGCTGTCGTTTGCTAGCAACACCCAAGCAGCATGGCTTCAAATCCTGCTACCCGACACGTGGCACTTGTGCTGGCCTCAAATAGCAGCATCTGCTCTTGAAACATCAATGTTGGCATTGCACCGACTTGTCACAAGCTGAATTTTCCTCAGAACCAAGAAGTGCAAGACATAATAAGTGTTGTTGTCTGATTGGACTTTGCAAAAGTTCTACGACACCTGGATTTGCAACACCCGTGCTGTTTCGAATGGCAAGCCGTCATGCGCCGTCCGAAAGGCATTGCCGCGAGAACCTGTCGCACCCGTCAAGCCCGGCGCTCTCAAACAACTGCCACCGTTGGACCCTCCAGTTTTCCTGCCTTTCCCCTGGAATCGACCTGGAAAGGGTACCCTGAAAAACAAGAAGCACAGCCTTGGGAACGTTGCAGAGTGGTAATGCTTGTTATTTGTGTGACTTAATGTTAGCATCATCTTTATTCTGGTCACCCACCTGCATGGACTATATAACGAGTCTTTCTACGGGTCTCTGAAAGGTTCACTGCTTTCCAACACGTGAACGAATGCCTGGATCAATTGCCACAGGATCCAAGGATCCTTGAAGCTCACTATTGGCGTTTTTGAACATGGCCTCTTTCACCAGACAAATGGCTGAATCACAATTTTGGATTTTCCGCTGGAACCTGGATGCCATGGATGGGTATGCTGCGCAAGATGCGAGACCGGCAGCTCCACAAGCTGATGCAGCAACTTCCAGTGGCTGAGCTGCACGTATCTGCCCAGTGGATGGCGAGCCCACCCATTAGGGGATGGGATCCAATTCTTGCTTCAGGCTTCTAACAGAAAAGGGAATTATCGTCAACGCGAGCACTTGCCAGTCCAACACGAGGAGACCGGCAACCCCCAAAATGCTTGGTTCTTGTGGCTACTTCAACAAGAATACCACCCCAGGCAGTTCCACATCACACTGCAGGTTGGCCCGTTCAGAGGTTTGTTCCATTGCACCTTGTTGCCTCTCGGCGGCTGGCCACTGAGTTCACGCATGTGAACACTGCAGAATTCAGCGGTTTCCTTGGTGCTGAGCACAGGGGAAGGAGACTTGGGCACGCATGGGTATGAAATTCAATGAGGGACCCCTTAAGTGGACATTTACATAGAGGGACTCCCATCTCAGTCAGTTTTGACTGACTCGCATGAACCTTCCGGTATGGCGAGCTCACGGGTTGCAACAAGTTGACCCATGTAGGTCGTTTGCCTGGGGTTCTTCTTTCCAGTGGAATCAAAAACGGCAATTTGAGCGGAACCCGGGAACCTGGGCAACAGATATATACTTTTCGTTTGGAATGCTTCAAGGGTCTTGCGAGGCCAATTCTAAAAGATTTGGTGGGGTGATGTATGGGGATTTTGTGATTTGGTGACGAACCCTGTGAGTTATGATTACCATCGATGGAAGGTTAGGGACCGTCCCAGCCAGAAATATGTGCTGCCGCCATCTTCATTCCAGGAATTTGGGTTGACCATGTTTCATACCAGGTTTCGATTGTGACTCCGGCTCTCGAGGCTTTTTGCTGACCTTGCTGCATGGCTTTCTACCCTGCACCATGGGCTTCCGGTTGCTGAAGTGCTCGAAGCAGCTGATGGCCCTGCACAGCCGGGAGCTGTGGCATGCCTGTACCTTGGCCAACCTCCGGCAGGGGCCAGTCGCATCTTCCGATTACATTCGCTTCAGGGATCCTTCTCTTCAAACAGCTGGCATTTTTTGAGGGGAAATTTGTGGTCTCTAAAGAGAACAACGGGGTGCAGAGCATGGGGAATCAACCCTTAGAACCATCGTTCGTCATTAAGGGCCATAAATCTGCTGTCATTTGGGTCACTTTGTGACTGGGCCAAACTTGTATGGCGAAGGGAGTTTGGAAATTGTCAAGTTTTGATTGCGACTTGGATTCTGGGGCCCAGGCTTTGTGCAGCAGTACCCGGACAAGCCCTGCGCAGCATGGCAGGAGTGTATGCGTGTTCCACTTTTGCGCTTTTGGGGGTAAACAAGCGCACCCTTCAGAGTCAGAGAGGTTCCTTAATTCCAGTTTGGGAATAATTGCAGCTCGTGCAGAAAGCACCGTGCCGTTTTGCTGCCCCTGCGAGAGAACCCTTCACTGTGAGAGGGCAAGTTGTCGCTTACTCTCCTGCACAACATGCAACCCCAAAAGCCATCACTTGTATAGGAACCTTCGTTTGGGGGACTCCCCTTTTGGGTTTTATGGTTTTATGTTGCCTGAGGCGGGAGAGGCCAACCCTTTGCAGCGTCTCATCATGCGGCAGCCGCCCCTAGCAGGGCTTTGCCTGGACAGCAGTGCTACGGCAGATGATTGGTTGATAGGTGGGTCCAAGGCGGGGTGGGTACAGTTCGCTGAGAGAAGGTTCGAGTAGATGGCGCAACTTCCCATGTCATCCCCTCCACTAAAGGGCATTGTGCCATCCATTGCCGCCTTGCTTGAAACGAGAGCTTTAGGCTTAGCGTGGCCTTGCTTAGGGATCGCTGGCTCGGGGCAAATTGAATCGAGCTCACGGATTGTGGGGAAAGACGAGCAACAACCCATGATGAAGGTCCTTCTCTGGGGGATTCTGAATTCCTTATTACCGATTTGTGACTTTAGAATGTTGATTGACTCCGAATGCAATCGTGATGTCTATGCAAGAGAAAGATGGAACCCCAAAACAGGGCTGACCCAAAAGGGAATTCCTCGAAAATTGGCGCTTTTGGGGGTCCATGTTCATGGGTAACTCAAAAGGATCTTGCTAGCACGGGCTGGCCTGGATGAGGGAAACTTGCCCGAGATCACCAAACCTTAAATGACATGAGTCACGACCTGAATGATTCTTTTGGGCTATGTAAAGTTGCACGCCAAATCTGAGCAAGCCCGCTACCAGTAATCCCAGTTGTTCAGCCTGTAGTTGTTCTTGCCGTTTGGCGGGTTCTCGAGGACAAATGGTCAACACAAAACAGGCCTCTCCATTTTGACCAGTGTCATTGGGCAACTTGGTCCTGATTCTGAGCAACCGCTAAACCGGGCTGCGCTTCTAGGTGCCTTTGCGGATGCATGTGTGGCCCTTGTGTATCTCCTTCAAAAGGAAGCGTTTTGACAATTGGGACTCTTTCCTTTTGACGTGTGTGTGTGTGTGTGCGCGTGTGGGTGCATGTGTTTGCGTGGGTGCATGGGTGGGTGGGTGGTTGGTTCGGTGTGATGGGTTTGAGGGTACCCTTTTTGGGGTTGGTGTTACGGTAAACCAAAGGGAAGTGACGCGTGCAGCCAAGGCAACCCTGAAGTGGACTCCGGGGCCCACGATTGGCAAGCTGGGCTGCTGGTCATTGGCAGCCATTTGAGTGGAAAGACGTGGCTGGCGACTTGGGCTCTGCGGGCGTGGTTGTCCTTTGCCAAAAGCCTAACAAAAAGCTTGGCTCCAAGGCTTTGTGGTTGTCAAGGGCCCCCGCAAGCCGAGTGGTTTGTTCGTTTGAGAACGGTTTGGAAACATAGGCATTGGCCATTTAGCACTGCCAAAGCCGGGAGCTCAGACCAAGGTGAGACGCTTTTGTACCGGCAGCCCTCCAGAGGGCTTGGACAAGGCCATGGGGCAAGGTCAGCAACTGGAGCACGGGAACCTTGCGACATCTGGTGACTCTGTTTGGGGTCTGCAAAATGATTTTATTTATTCTTTAGTGTGGCAACAATTTGGGGGTTCGATCAAGGTATGCGGGCCACCAACGACCATTCAGGAGGATTAAGGAGCTTGACATTCCCATGACTCCCCTGGTTCCGAGTGAGTGGACGGTATATATTGACCATGCCTCACATGTGTCTTTGTTTCTTTTCTGTTTTGTTTGAAGAAGAAGCTTCCCTTTCAAGCAACCCACAAAAGGCACACAGTCCACAAAAGGCACCCACATTTGATTCTTCAGATGCAAGGTGGAACATGTGCTCAGACTCGGATCAGAAAACCGAACCTTGACTGAATTCCTTGCTCCCTAGCCTCAGCCTCACCAGCGCGATGAGAATAGACTTCCAGAAGCCTGCAGTCAGCTTTCATGTCAAAGGGTCGGGGGAAGGTGGCTTTTGGGGATGCTGCTGGAATCGCTATTTTCCCTTGTTGGTTAGATGGCATTTCCTCATGGAAGGGGCCCTCCGGGATTTCCAAAATGATTGGTACATGGTTAATGTGGACCCCGGAGTACAAAAAACCTTCCGATTCAAAGGGTGCGTGCTTCCCCCAAAAGTGTGGG